GTTTGAACCAGAACCCACTCCTTCCCTTGCCTCTCCCAGCTCACCATGATGAAAATGTCATTCCAGACACTGTGGTCAAGAATGCAGGGGTCAGAGGGTCACCTCTCCAAGAGGGGCAGGATGTCAGCCCTCTGCCCCTTGTTTCTTTTTTTTTTATTGTTTTATTATTCATATGTGCATACAACGTTTGGGTCATTTCTCCCCCCTGCCCCCACCCTCTCCCTTACCACCCACTCCGCCCCCTCCCTCTGCCCCCAACTCCCTCGATATTCGGCAGAAACTATTTTGCCCTTATCTCTAATTTTGTTGTAGAGAGAGTATAAGCAATAATAGGAAGGAACAAGGGTTTTTGCTGGTTGAGATAAGGCTAGCTATACAGGGCATTGACTCACATTAATTTCCTGTGCGTGTGTGTTACCTTCCAGGTTAATTCTTTTTGATCTCACCTTTTCTCTAGTTCCTGGTCCCCTTCTCCTATTGGCCTCAGTTGCTTTTAAGGTATCTCCTTTAGTTTCTCTGCGTTAAGGGCAACAAATGCTAGCTAATTTTTTAGGTGTCTTACCTATCCTCACACCTCCCTGTGTGCTTTCACTTTTATCATGTGCTCAAAGTCCAATCCCCTTTTGTGTTTGCCCTTGATCTAATGTCTGCATATGAGGGAGAACATACGATTTTTGGTCTTTTGGGCCAGGCTAACCTCACTCAGAATGATGTTCTCCAATTCCATCCATTTACCAGTGAATAAAAACATTTCGTTCTTCTTCATGGCTGCATAAAATTCCATTGTGTATAGATACCACATTTTCTTGATCCATTCGTCAGTAGTGGGGCATCTTGGCTGTTTCCATAACTTTCTGCCCCTTGTTTCTAAGACTAACTTCTAGACTAGCACAGGCCAAGAGGCAGGGGTTCCCTTCTTGTACCCAGCACCAACCATGGGAGGGATGCTCTACCTTGGGCACAGTGCCCCTGAGAGTCCTAGGGCCCCACTTGCCCCTACCCAGATTGTGAGGTTCCACGCTAGAGAAGCAAGCTGAGAACTGAATCCCATCCTCTCCACTGAGGGCTCAGCTCCTGGGGGTGGGGGTGGGGTCACTGGGAAAGAAGTGTGTCATTGTCCTCACTCCAAGCTCCAGAGCCAGGGCTTGGAGATCGTTCCTGGAAGAAGAAGTAGGCCATAAAACAGATAGCTCCTAGTTTCTTCTTATAGGAACTAACCTCTTGCAACAGTGGAGACAAGTTTAAGATTAAGAAACTACTTGGGCTGGGCACTGGTGGCTCTCACCTGTAATCCTAACTACTTAGGACGATGAGATCATAATTTGAGGCCAGCCTGGGCCCCATGTCTGAAATAACCAGAGCAAAATGGACTGGAGGCAGGGCTCAAGTGATAGAGCACCTGCTTTGTGAGCGCAAAGCCCTGAGTTCAAGCCCCAGTCCCACAAAAAAAAAAAAAAAACAGAGAGAGAGAGAAAAGGAGGGAGGAAGGAGGGGAGTGAAGGAGTGGGGAAGAAGGGAGGAAGGAAAGAAAGAGAAGGAAGGAAGGAAAGAAGAAAGAAAGAAAGAAAGAAAAGAAAAGAAAAAGAAAGAAAGAAAGAAAAAAGAAATTAAACAACAACAAGAACAACAACTACTTTGGAGGCTAAATTAGGAGGATCACTTGAGCCCAGAAGTTGGAGATCAGCCTGGGCCACACAGTGAGATACCCTATCAAACCCACCAACCACAAACACCACCAACCAAAAACCCCAAAGGAAAATGAAATAAAACAAACAACAAAATAAAAATAAGGGAAAGGCAATAGAGAGGACTGGTGGGCTCGCTGGAGACAGGGTAGGCTGTAGCTGGCTAGTATAGAGACAGCTGGAGGGTCCCTCCAGAGGTCAGAAAAAGTCCCCCTCACCTTGAGAATCTTTCAAGAGAGTTCAAATTTGATGGGATTGGTTTTGGGGGAGGAGACTACAATTAATTCCATAGGGCATTGTTTAAAACAATATAGCTGCCAGTCTGCAATCAGTGGCCTTTAACAACTGGGTGCTATCAGGGAAAGGGACAGCAAAGAGAATCCCACTAAAAGATGCCATTTGAGGGGAACTGTGGGCATACCCAAGGCTGAGCCTCTGATTAGTGACATGGAACCCTCAACACTGCAGGTGGTTATGGGAAGGGGGTAGAAGTAGGGTGGCGAGAAATTAGACTTCATGAATATAATCCAGGCTGTCACTAAACAAATAACAATAAAATGTCCCAGAGTGGAGTGGGAATAGGAGAACCAGCACCTAAACTTGCTACAATGTGTTTTCTAAAATATACTGTTCCCAGCAAAAAAAATATGAGACTTGCAAAGAAATAGGAAAGTACAATTTATACAGGAGGAAAAAAACCAAAGGCAAGAGAAACTGCCAGATGTCAAGTTTAGAGGTAAGGCCTTAAAATGAGCTATTCTAAAGGTGTTCCAAAACAACTGAAGAAAAGCACAATTGAGGAAGTGGCTCCAGGTTGCAGAGCACATGGCAGTGCTAGGAGGGTGCCACACTTGGAGGGTACCCCTTCTCATAGGCCTCGCTCTGTGCATCAATTCCACCTAGTTGTTCTTGAGTTAGATCCTTTTATAATAAGCTGACAAAGCAGTAAGTAAAAAAAGTAAAGGAAAATATGAAGAAAATGTTGCACCAAAGAAAATACCAATATAGGGGCAGAAATAAGCCAGGAGTGGTGATGGATGGAGTCTTGTATCACAAGCTCCAGGCAAACCAGAGCAATTTAGTGAGATTCTGTCTCAAAAATGAAATTTAGAAAAGGCTGGGGATGTAGCTCAGTGGTAGAGCACTTGCCTAGTATTCATGAGGCCCTGAGTTCAATCCCTAGAACCACCAAAACAAACAAACAAAAAAAAGGTAATAAAGATTTCCCAGATACGCAAAATGCTCAAGGAAGTTCTTCAGACTAAAAGAAAATGACTCTCAAAGGCAATCTGATTCCACACAAAGAATGCTGGTGGCCTAGTTCGATGGAGCTGCCATCAAACAGACAAGTGGCTTAAACTACACTCATTTACTTCTCACAGTTTGGGAGATGGAGAAGTCCAAATTGCCAACAGTTTGCGCCTGCTGAGGGCCTCTTCCTGGCTTGCAGGCCATCACCTTCTCACTGTGTACTTTACATGGTGGACGGGGAAACAAGTGCGGTGTGGGGATTATTTTACTCAGCTTGATGTTATCAAGGCTCCTCCTTGTTGTAGGATAGATCAGATCATTCCTTTGTTGTTGTTGTTGTTTCTTGAGGTACTGGGGTTTGAACTTAGGGCCTCCTGCTTGGTAGGCAGAAGCTCTACTATTGGATTCACTTTGCCAAACCTGTTGGGTGTTGGGTATTTTCGAGATAGGGTCTCAAGAACTATTTGCCCAGGGCTGGCTTTGAACCTCAATCCTCTTGAGCTCTGCCTCCTGAGTAGCTAGGGTTGCAGGCGTGAGCCACTGGTAGATCATTCCCCTTTATGGGTGAATAATAAATATACCATCATCTGCTCCTACCACATTTTGTTATCCACCAACTGCTATCATCAGTTGAAGACATTGTTCCTTTTTAGAATGCTGTGGCTACAAACATTAGTATACAAATACCTGTTCAAGTCCCTGCTTCAATTTTTTTTTTGAGTATATACCCAGGAGTGAATTGCTGAATCAGGTAGCAATTCTGTATTTTTTGTTTGTTTGTGGTACTGGGGCTGAACTCAGGACTTTACACTTGCTAGCCAGGTTCTGTACCACTTGAGCCTCATCCCCAGCCCTTTTGCTTGACTTATTTCTTGGATAGGATCATGTGTTTTTGCCCAAGGCCAACCTCAGACCTCAATCCTCCTACCTATGCCTCCCAAGTAGCTGGGACCATAGGCTTGAGTCATCATACATGATTCACTGGCTGAGATGAGGACTCACTTTTTGTGCAGGCTGGCCTTGAATCTCGATCCCCTGGATCTAGGGTTCCAGAGTAACTGGGATTATAGTGTGTGCCATCATTCCTGGCCCTTACATTTAATTTTTTGAGGAACTACCATATCATCTTCTACAGTGGTTGCACCATTTTACATGTGGATGTTTTGATGCTTTGAATGATGTAAATAATTATTTGCTGTAGGAAACTGATACTTGTATGTACTGCATCAACACAGAAAATACATCTCTCTTACTAAGGTTATATGATATATGATAGAGCTGCCTGTCAAACATTTTTAATTCCTGTGCTGGTTAACTATGGTCCATAGCCTTGGAGGTGTGTGCGTTGGAAGGATGGATCAGAAAGAAGGGTAGTGGGGCAGCCAGCAAAGCAGGAAAATAACTCCACATCCTGAAGCTCTATTTCTGTTGCAGTCATTTGTCACAAAGTAGGGGAGAGGATGAATAACAAAGGTGAGAGAAGGGAAAGGTAGAGGAATGAATGTGGTTGCGGTCTGGACCAATCTGCTATTTTTTATCTATGGGGTGTGAGATGAGTGTCAGTGAAAGCTGTTTTCTTTCTTCTCCCACTTCATCTCAAACAATGCAGAGCATATGTCCTTTCTAAAGCTTTTAGGATCTGCCTGTAATCCTAGCTACTCAGGAGGCAGAGATCAGGAGGATCACGGTTCGAAGCCAGACTGGGCAAATAGTTTGCGAAACCCTATCTCAAAAAACCCTTCATAAAAACAGGGCTGGTGGAATAACTCAAGGTGAAGACCGAGTTCAAGCCCAGTACCACAAAAAAAAAAAAAAAAGGACTGGTGGAGTGGCTCAAAAGGTAGAGGCCTTGAATTCAAGTCCAGTACTGCCAAAAAAAAAAAGCTTCTGTGGTCTATAAATTATGCTACTGACTTATGATCTTTAGACAAATTGAATTTGTAGATGAAATACAAACCTACAATGAACTGACACACTTACCAGTGATGGGGGGAATGCAACATTTTATCACTTTATTTTTATTATTGCTTTTTGGTGATGCTGGCATGGAACTCAGAGCCTCGTCACAGAGCTAGGTCCTCAGCTCAGGTTATCTCTTCAAGCCTTTCATCAGATCAGTCGTCTCCGGAAGCCATGGGAAATCACAGTGCTTTGGTATTTAGAGAGAGGTGAATACAAAGGGAAATCTGCAATTTTTATTTCTGGTGGGCCTTTCTTTAAGACAACTTTACGATCCTCCCCATGGCAAAGTCTTTCTCTGCGATTTAAAAACAGAGAGTCTTCTATTGGGCCAGTGTAGATCCCACATGCTGCTGCTTGCTACGGGAAACAGAGCAAATCAAACTTCTGCTTAATATGACATCAAACATCGTTTTCTTCTTAGCTTGAGAGCAAGGTTTTGTGATAGTTTTTCTAAAAGTAATGTTCTGTCACTTGGTGTTACCAACTACTGGAAGAGTCAATGTGGACTGCAAGGCGATAGGTGAGCTTGGAGTCAGTCATTGAACCTAGCCTCACTACTTGTGTGCCCTTGTACAAGTCATTTACCTACCCCCAACTCCCAAGTCTTCTCACAGATAAAATGGGAATGTCGAAGGATTCTTTGAGTACTGATGAAAATATATGTGTGAGGACTGGGGGTGTATCTCAGTAGCAGAGCATTTTACTTGTGTGCAGTACTGCAAAAAAAGAAAGGAAACAAAGCTGAGCATGGTAGTGTAAGCCTGTAATTCCAGCACTCAGGAGGCAGAGGTAAGGAGGATCATAAGTTTGAGGACAGCTTGGGCTACTAGCAAGACCATCTCAAAAATCCAAAACCCTATGTGTGGATGAAAAAGCTTTTGCCAATTCTTAGGTATCAAAGTATGATGCTGCTGTTACAGCTCTTGAGTTTTTTGCTTTGTTTTTTCTTTTTGGTGGTACTGGGATTTCAATTTAGGGCCTCACGCTTGCTAGGCAGGCACTCTACCACTCAATCCACTCCACCAGCCCTTTTTTCATATGTTGGGTATTTTCAAGATAGGGTCTTGCAAACTATTTGCTTGGAATGGCTTTGAACTGCAATCCTCCTGATCCCAAGTAGCTGGGATTACAGCTGTGAGCCACCAGCGCCTGGCTAGCTTTGAGGTTCTGACTTAAGTAAGCATCTACTTCTGATGCTTCTGCTCTGCAGAATACCAGTGCAGCCTGGCCTTGGAGTGCAGCTGCATTTCTGACATGCCGTGTTTCATTTTAATGTTGCTAAATGTGGTTTATCACCTCCTAAAGAAAATCAGTGAGGATAAATAGAGGGAAAGAAACAATAATCTAGAATGTACTAGTATTTATTCCATGTGGACATATCCACTGCAGTTAATTCTTTATTTAAATTTCTTGGTAACTCTGTAAGTTAGGATGTACTATATAGCAGTTACTAATATTTTCTAAATTGTTGGGAACATCTTAAACTAAATTGCAAAAGTGAAATAACTTTGAAAAATTGTACTGAACTATAGATCTAAAGAATAAGACCAGGCTGGAGGGATGGCTCAGGCAGCAGAATGCCTGCCTAGCAAGTGTGAAGTCCTCAGTTCACCCCCAGTACTGCAAGACAACCAACCAACCAACCAAATCCCAGTATCACCAAGAAAGAAAGAAAGGGAGGGAGGGAAGGGAAGGGAGAGAGAGAAAAAAGAGGGAGAGAGAGAGAGAGAGAGAGAGAGAGAGAGAGAGAGAGAGAGAGAGAGAGAGAGAGAAGAAAGAAGGAAAGGAAAGGAAAGGAAAGGAGAAGGGAAGGGGAAAGGGAAGGGAAAGGAAAGGAAAGGAAAGAAAGATCAACCTGAAGATGTAGTTCTGGTACAGTGTGTGCTTAGCATGCATGAAGCCCTGGGTTCAATCCTCAGCACACGAAAAAAGAAAAAACAAATGCCTTAATGCATTCAAAAAAAGTATTTCTTTACTGATTTCAATTCATAAAGTTCATACCTTGTAGTGTTAGTAAATGAAAGAGATATTTAATATAATACTGTTACCCTGCTAAAGCTATTTGATTAGCCACTACAATATATGAAGTATAGCCCAATATTAAGATTGTAGTAAGTTTAATAATCAACATTTATAAATTTGGTATTTAAGTCTAATACTTGAGTCTTGATTTCCTTAGACTTTGTTTTTAAAATACCAGATAAAAGAACATGAAAAATCATCATCCCAGGGCAACTGTAGCTTCATATATTTTCTAATATTGTTCACGTGCATTTTATAGGAAAACAAATGAGACAGATTTTATGATAGCTCTTAAATCATAAGTTATAATTATTTACATTTTGTAATATTTGTCTTGACAAAATATATTCTTATTTAACATTAACTGTTTATCCAATTGAAATTTTACAAATTACTTATACAAACACATGTTGTTCTAAGAATCTTAACTTGAAATTTCTTCTCATAGTCTATTACAATATACTCCACACTCCTTTAAAGAAACAGCTGTGTTTCCCAAGTAAACGGCCAGCCTGAACTTGGAAAATGTTTTAGAAGTACTGCCTGACCACTAGCATTGAATGGCACATCTTATCTGTAAATCGAGCCCGCCCATCCCCGTTGCTCTCTACTGAAAAGTGGGTGACCCATCCTGCAGCTTTGGCACCAATGGCACCTGCTTCTGCAGAGCTTCTTGCTCACATTTTTAAATTTTTTTGGTGGTACTGGAGTTTGAACTCAGAGTCTTGCGTTTACAAGGCAGGCACTCTACCACTTGAGCCAGCTCTTCAGCCATGCTTGGTCTGAAATCCTTTGGTATATCTATTTTAATTATGGGTTATGTGTATTCTACTACTTAACTTTTGCTTACAAGTTTGTGTAAGTGCATGAAAATAGTTTTTGCATAGTTATGAATGCCTAATCAAAGATTATATTAAATAGTGTAGTTTTTAAAGTTATGAATATTTATGAGACAATACCTTCAGATTCACACTCCTGAATTTCATGTTTTCTTTCCAAGGCATAACATAACGTGTTGGGATCATCCCTTGCTTTAACGAAAACCGTGGCAAATGGATATCATCATACCTGAAGAGCAGGAAAGCGAGGAGACCAGGAGTTGTGTTAGCATCTCTCTAAGGGGTGGAGGTGGCATGTGTCTTAAGGCCTTAGGACCACTGCGGCCGCATGGGAGAGCTGTGCCACTGAGGCTCAGATAATAGCCCGCCCTCTAACTCCCCAGTCACCAAGGTGAAGTCAGAGCTGGCTCTCTGTATCGAAGCACAGCATGCAGGCCCTTACAGTTTGACCACAACGTCCATAGAACCTCATTTTAAAGGAAAAGGAAAGGAGAAGACAGAAGAAGGGAAAGGAAAGGAAAGGAAGAAGGAAGGAAGAAAAGAAAGAGGCCAGGAGCTGTGGCTCCTGATGTAATCTCAGCTACTCAGAGGCAGAGGCTGGGAGGATCACAGTTCAAGTCCAGTCCAGGCAAAAAGTTAGCCAGTTCCTATATCTCAACAAAGAAGCTGGGATGATGGGTACCTGTAATCTCAGCTCTGTGGGAGGCATAGGTAGAGGATTTGGGGCCAAAGCTAGCCCCAGACAGTGAGATCCTATCTGAAAATAACCTAAAGCTAAAGAGTTGAAGGTATGGCTTAAGTGGTAGAGCTAGCAAGCACTGAGTTCAAATTCCAGAACCACAAAAAGAAAAACAAGTTAACTTGACTTTTGACTTCTCCCTGCACACATATTATATATGCTTCTCTTTAGAACATAAAGCTTTCTGTATAAATGCTAATGAGAAGCACAAAGTTATTGTTCTCATCTATGTAGCTCCCAGACTACAGAGCAAATCAGCAAACAAAAGACCCCAGACCTGCTGTATGTGGTAGTTCATGTCTGTAATCCCAGCTACTCAGGAGGCAAGAGGATTGCAAATTCCAGGTCATTGGGTAACATAGCGAGACCCAGTCTCAAAGTAAGATAAAAAATGGGCTGAGGATGTAGCTCAGTGCTAGTGCTTGCCTAGTACGCAAGAGGCCCTGGGTTCCATTCCCAATACTGAAAACAAGACAAAATCCCAGAACCCTTAAGTCCTCACTTATTTGCAGGTTTATGTTCACTTTCATCCGAGCATTTGTCAGCCAGTTTAGGCAAGGCAGGACCATCTTTTCCAGATGCCATCCCAGAATTCTCAACTAGAATCTAACTCACTGGTCTCATTCTGGAAATGCTGCCTCTGATGTAACAATGGCTTGTTAACTTCACAGCAGCCCTTAGCACTTGTAGCTGAGGGTATGGCGCTCACAGCTATTTTCAGGATTTTTTTTCTCAATGATTTTTCATCATGCAAAATCACTGCTTTCTTGTCCCTGTGCCCTCTCCCCAGTGTTTTTTTTTTTTTTAATTCCTTTGTGAGAAAAAAACATTCTCAAACAACTTAAAAATGGGAATACATGCATACATATTGCAAATTTGACCCATACGGAAAATGTTGGATGAAATATTGAAATAAGCACTTCATATTAACATGGCTTTCCCTTGTTTAATTTTCCTCTATATGCAACATGCTTGATACATCTCATTTAGTTTTACCATCTATTACTTAAGCCACACTTTCTGAATGCAAATGTTTAAAACCAAACCAATTCAACCCATTTTCTCTTACCATTTGTTATGTTGCAGAATATTTTAGATTACAAAGCTCATTTTAATAAAGCAAATCTACAAATGAGGATGAGCACTTAAATTACTATGGGAGAGCCCGGCACCAATGGCTGAGGCTGGTCCCCTAACTTCTTGTGAGGCTGAGACAGGAAGGATTGTGGTTCAAGGCCAGCAAAATACCCAGAGCGAATGGGACTGGAGGTGTGGTTAAAGCAGTACAGCACCTGCTCTGCAAGCCTGAAGCTCTGGGTTTAAACTCCAGTTTCACACACACACACAAAAAAAGTTAGGCTGAACAACAACTACAGCAAGGTATGCTGGTTTGGTGGCAATGGTACAGACATCTCCTTGGATAGGCAGAAATGTTTACAGAAGAGTAATGGTAATAGAACTTCAAAAATTGAAGTGTTGGTTTCTGTTGACAATAAGGTGGGATTCAGTGGAAATCTGTGATTTCAAATGTTAAAGAAACAACCACTGAGGAAGATGAATTGGGAAGATGGGTGAAGAGGTAATCTTTTTTTTTTTTTCGGTGGGACTAGGGTTTGAACTCAGAGCTTGCAAAGGCACACACTCTACTCCTTAAGCCACAACTCCAGTCCATTTTCGATATGGGGTCTTGTGAGCTATTTGCCCTGGCTGCTTCAAACAGATTCTCCCAATGTCAGCCAGGATTACAGGCAGGAGCCACCCTGGCTGGAAGGGGCAATCTTAAACAAAGTAAGTAGCCTTGGCACTAATGCCCTCTAGACAACGTAATTTTCAATAGAAAAGGCAGTATTTACAATGTGTACATGACATTTAAATATTCTGGATGTCTGTTTCCTGTCCTAACATGCTGTGTCTCTAAACTCATCTCTCATAGGGTTGGGGATGTAGCTCCATGGTAGTGTACTTGCCTCTAGTGTGTTTTGAAGCCGTGTTTGACTTTCACACTGGGCTGAACCATGGGGATCAGCTCTTGTAATTTCACGGATTTTTTTCCCTTGATCATAGCAACTTTATAAAAGAATATTTGAAAAGTTAGGGCAGGGATATAGCTCAGTGGTAAAAGCACATGCTTAGCACACAGGAGGCCCTGGGTTCAACACCCAACACTAAGTAAATAAATAAAGTCACCTGAAGCTCATTAAGGACCGCCAAAAATCTAATTTTATTTTTGCATTATTTATAAATAAAAAGCAACCAACTTCAATTTCCATGACTGTGTTTTTAGGAACTACTAAGACTTTAAGTACATTGTAAAGAACAGTTTGTAATTACTGAACTATACATTTTACTTAATATACAAAATTTTTGCTTAAGATATTTGTAAACTAGAGTTAACCCTTGGAACATCTTATGTAAACTACTTTCATTTTCTTCTTTAATAAAAATGACTAATTTGAAACTACATGCAGATGTGATGTTTTAAATACCTAGCTTCCTTAACTTAAGGTAAAGTCCCAGATTGGGCCCACTAGAAAATTTGAAAATGTCCATGATCATACATACGTATGGATACATCAGTATTTAAGTGTATAATCAAGTTATTATGCTGAAAAGACTCAAGAACCAATATATCTTTGAAAAGTTACTGATATTTGCTTCTCAATAAACAAGTGGGAAAAACTTTCAGTATAGGCTTGTACAAATCTCTATCCTTGAAACTGTCTCAAAGTATCCAGGTGTGGTGATGCACACCTATAATCCCAGCACTCTGGAGGCCATCCTACGCTACATGAGATCCTGTCTCAAAAAAAAAAAGTCTAAAAGTTTTTAGACTATAGAAAAAAATCTGAGCACATTTGTAACAGTCTAACGATTATGTGTGCCATTAGGATCTTTCAATGGAATGTTTAGAAACCAAAGCATAATTCACCACAAAGACAAATCAGAAAAAAAAATTGTTTTTGAATGGTGTGTTATCATGACCTGGACAAAACTGATTATCAACTAGTACTCATAATTTATACATGCAACAGACTGAGAAATTAAACCCTGTTTAAGATACTTTCACATATAGTGTCAACACGGGCCATCTTTAAGTGTTTTTATCAGTCACAATTGTCTCCCCACATATATTAATTTTTATTTGAAAAAGAAATAGCTCTCTCTCCTACGAATTCTCATGTCTATCAGTGCAAAGCAAAACAAAGCAATCTCAGTAGAGATGGTTTATTACAATGCCATCTGAGAAAGGCCTACTCCTCAGAATGTCCCAAATGGACTTAAAATACATCAAGGTCGTGAGAATGATCGACCTCAATGGCATCCTCTGCATCCAACTTGGCTTCTCCATGTCCTTCCTGGGATTCGCCAAGAGAGGCCAGTGCCTCGTTTGTGTCACTTGCAAAAGTTTCTCGTGATGCATCATCATCCTCTTGAAAATTCAGACTTTTAATAGCTTGTTTCATTTTTTTCCCTAATAATTGTGTTCTCCTCTTCCTAGCAGCTTTTTTATTTTCATATTCCTTTTGATTTTCAACGTAGAAAATGTCCTGTAATAAAAACAACTTTAGTTAAACTAACTCACCAAACAAACCCTATTTATTAGATGTTTGGTACAATGCAGGTCCTTTATAATCATTACCTCCATTTCTCACAAAAAATATTATCAGTACGCTCATTAGTAGACACAGTCCAAAAGATTAACTAAGCACCAAGCTGGTTATGATGGCTCATGCCTGTGATCCCAGCTACTCGTGCGGCAGAGATCAAGAGGACAGTGGTCCCAGATCAGCCCTGGCAAAAGGTATCAAGGCCCTTCTTAACCAATAAAAACTATGAGAGAAACATAAATGGAGGATCCGCTGTCCAGGCTGGCCTGGGCATAGATGCGAGACCTTATTCAAAAATTACCTAAAGCAAAGCAAAGGGATGGAAGCGTGGTAGAGCTCCTATGGAGCAAGAACACAGCCCTCAGTTCAAGCCCCAGTACCGCAGAAAGAAAAATAAATTCTGAGTTGTGAAAAACTCGTATTATAGAACAATATCCATGCAAATCATTCCCTGTAACAGAAAAATGATTAAGAATACTTTTCAGCTTATAAAAAATGAAGATGGAGGAATGGAATGAAGACTGAGGAGACAGTCACTAGAACAGGCAACCTAACACTACAAAATAACCACCCAACTTTTTAAAAGGTCTAAATGAAAAGGGAAAATGTAAGTCTAAAAAGAATCATATAATTAATGCAATATGGAAACCTAGATTAGATTCTGTTTGAGGTAGAAGGGACTAACATGAATTCTTAGGATATTCAGAAAACTGGAAGGTCTATTTTAAATAGAAGAAACTGTTTTTATTTCTTTTTATTTCTCTTTATTTCTTTTTATTTCTCTTTATTTCTTTTACTCATGGAAGTAAAAGAGGTGTTGTGATACAAAGGATATAGTCCTTACCGTTGGGAAAAGCTTGTTGAAATAACTTGGGCTAAAGATCACGCTATTTAATGAAACAGAAAAAAAATGTATAGATAAAATAAAAAGGTCAAAATATTAACCACTGCTAAACTTAGGTGAAGAATATATGGATGTTTATCTTATTCTTCTATCACTTCGGATGTTTGAAAATGTTTGTTAAAAAGAAGTTTTAGGAAGACAGAAAAAAATAATTATATGCTAAGAGAACAGGATAAATTATAAAAATAAATCTTGACTGTAGCTCAGAAAGGGAAGATGAAGCAAAGCTTTGAAAGGCACAAGTTTTATTTGAAATGACACAATGCCAGTATAGGTCCTTTTAGGGCACAGCAGCTGATGGAAGTAGTAGAAAATGAACCTACAGGCTGAGTGGAAGTCAAATTATGATGCAGCTTAAAAAGCCAAGTCACTGTCATTACCCATTACCTTAATTTGTTCTTCACTGATACTAGGAGTGTTTTTCAGGAGATTCAGAAAAACGCCACCTGGTGTTCTTCTTCGACTACCATTCTACAAAAAGAAACACACATTGAAGTACACAGATTTTTTTTTTTTTTTTTTCCAGTGCTGGGGATTGAACCTTGGGCCTTGCCCATGCTAGCAAAGTGCTCTATAACTGAACTGCTATCTCAGCCCCCAAACTACTTAAGATTCTGCCCATAAATAGCCAAGTCATCTGTTAGCAGAGACCCCTAAGGGAATACAAGAATACCAGATTGGTAGCTCAGTCCTGATTCTGACTTTTAAAATATCTGCACTTTCTGCTTTTATCTGCCATCTCGCCAAATCAGGAATATTCTGTTAAATACAAAGACATCAGAAAGCTTTAGTAATTAAAAGAGCAGCAATGAAATGATAAATGAATGGTTGATGGAAGCCCGGCACCATGATTCATACCTATAATCCTAGCTGATCATGAAGATCACAGTTCAAAGCCAGCCAAGGCAAATAGTTTACGAGACCCTATCTCAAAAAAACCCAACACAAAAAAGAGCTGATTGAGTGGTTCAAGGTTTAAGCCCTGAGTTCAAACCCCAGTACTGCAAAACTCAACACAACAAAACAAAACAAACGCTCTAATGCTCTACCACTTTGAGCCCTGCCCTGCTGGCAGTCTTTTTTTTTTGTGTGTTGGCTATTTTCAAGATAGTCTTGTGAAGCATTTGCCTGGGCTGGCTTCGAACTCCGATCTTCATGATCAGCTAGGATTATAGGTATGAATCATGGTGCCTGGCTTCCCTGTTCTGATTCCCAGATAAGTATTAATACACGTCTTTATAACCTAAAAAGTTTTGGGGATTTCTCTACCCCTTCTTCAAGAATGCATGAATTACAGGAACCCAAAGTAACAATGTTCATCATGACTAAGTGCTAGTCACTGTGTTTAAGTACTTTGTGTGTACCATTTTATACTTAGACGATAATCAAATAAATTAGTCAAAGCTCACTTAATTTGAGCTTTCAGGTTTCTTCTAGATTGCTGTCTTAAAATTTTAGCCTGAGGCTGGCTGTGGTGGCCCATACCTATAATTCCAGCATTCAGGAAACTGAGAGCAAGAGTACTGAAAGTTTGGGGCTAATCTGAGCTATGTACAAAAATGAAAAAAAAGGAAAAGAGGTCCAACAGAGGCAAATTCATTTAGTTACATGACAAACAATACAAAACCAGCTACAATAAACAGCCTTACCATTATAAAAAGACCACCATTTTGTTCGACTTCAGCAGTTTCCATTAGAAGTTCAATTGCCTTTTTGTTCCCAATTATCCTCACTACTCGAGCTATGAGATCTTTCTTTGGTTCCTGTAACCTGGTAAGGAAAAAAAAAATTTTTACCTGTTATTTGTTGTTAATGAAATCTGCCTTAATCTCCAGGGTAGTTCTCAACTAGAATAAAATCCTGTTCTAATAATCTTTGCTCTTCTAAATCTTCAGTAATTAACCCTGGAGTCACTGACACAGGAACATTGTATTCTTCCATCAGGCAAGGAGACAGTGATCTCAAGGTTCCATCTCAAGTCGCACTTGGCCTCTCATTTGCCTTACTGGATTATGGCAGATTTCAGAGTAAATGTGCATGTATAGCAAGGTGAATGCAAGCCTAAATGCAAAACAGAACCAGTCCACTCTTGCCAAAACAAGTAACAAATATACGCTATGCTTTCAATTACTATGCCTAAAAGCTTTCCTAATTTCAGAGATGTCTGGGAGCTTTAAAATGGATAGGATCTTTCCCTCACAGGCCTCTTGTCTCAAAACAAAATAGAAATGGCTAGTATTTATGGTTTGTTATGATTATGATCATAATAAGCACAATCCTTAGCACCTATGCACTGTGTCAATTCTTTCAACATTATGAGTTAGACACTTATTTTCATTTCACCATTGAGAGATTAAAAACATAGGGACCTTAAGTAACTATTCTAATGGAGCCAGAGCCCACACTCCCCAGAGATGATGGAAAATTAATACTGCAGAAACCTCATCAGTTCCTAATCAGACCTGGTAATCTTTGTTTCTCCTCCACAGGAGACAGTGCATTACTGTAGAAAGAGCACTGGAGTAGGCTCCAGGTCTGATGCTAACTAAATATGGGATCTTGGGCAAGCCACATAATCACTTGACCTAGGTTTCCTTATCTGCAAAGTAAAAGTTTTAGTTTCCAAACTTTCTAAATTCCTTTTTGGAATTCAAATTCCAAACTTTCTCAGGATTTAAATAATCTAGTTCTAGAGTTGAGATGTGCTTGCCAGAAAATACTTGCTTTCCTACCAGCCATATTACCCTTCAACCGTGTCTGTTTTCAAATTTGTGACTAGTGACTTAGGACTAAAGAACAGTTAATCAAAATTTGAACTTACAGATAAACTATAAATTAACCATCCACCAAGTAACTGTATTCCTCAGTATTTACCCAAAAGAAATGAAAGTATATGTTCAAAGATCTGCACACTAAGATTCATAATAGCATTACTCATAACAGGAAAAGTGGGATGTCATCTAATATGGATATATACACACCTATATACACACAATAAACAGGAATTATTCCAGTTGAAACATGAATCAACCCAATAACACTTCACTAAGTGAAAGAAGCCAGGTACAAAACCACATAGTATATGATTCCACTTGTCCAGAAAAGGCAATTTATGTACATAGAAAGTAGAATTAATAGTTATCTGGGAATCAGAACAGGAACTTAGTGTAAATGGATATATGGATATAAGGGATCCTGTTGGGTTATGGAAAAGTTGATAAAAGTGATGGTTGTAGAACTTGATAAACTAACTACAAAAAAAATCAACACTTAAAAATGCCTTAGTAAAGTTATTTCTTAAGTCACAAATGCTTAAAAACACTCAAAGTCACAAAGATTTGTTTCACTTAAATAGTAGTATGGCACTAAATGTAGTCAGTTGCTTAAAAGTTCATAAAAGTTGCAAAATTATTCTGTCAGGTCAGTTCTGTCCAAAATTAAGAAAACACAAATGTATTCATATCACCAAATAAAGCCAGTTAATTCCTTAAGTTAAAAAACAAAAACAAAAACAAAAAAACCACTCAAAAAAGGAGCATCATGTGTTTGGCATCTATATTATTTCCCATAATTAGAAGTATTTGGTTAAGTACTCTTTTGTGGGTGAAATTTCAATGCTCACCTGAAAGAAATTTCATCAGCTACCTTCTCGTGAGAGTCATCCTCAGTGAGCTCATACCGGCCTGTATAGTCCATTTCTGGTCTGCACCCCAGTCTCTCTTTGACGGGTCGTTTGCGTTTGAGGTGCCCTTGCCCATTTTCATCTTCCCTTGGTTCTGCTTTTTTGTCACCATGCATATATTCATCTAGCTCTTTGTCTAGTTCTTTTGTACACTCTTGAGATTCCCTCTTGAGTTTCTTAGCAAGCAAATAGTTGTAGGTTTCAGACTGCCTGCTTTTATCAATGGTGCCCTCCATCCCCAAGATCCCCAGCTCGCTGGCCACGGCATCTTGATTCTGCTCCTGCAGAACAGCGCCCCAGATGTTGTTCACCTTCTTCCCTCCAGCTACTATTGCTTTCTGACTACTCTGCTCAAACTGAAAAGGCTCTGGTTTGGGAGGAGGGTTAAGACATTTCTGTCGCTTGCGTTTCCAAAGACAGCTATCTTCATCTGAATCAGAAAAACTGTCTTCACTTGAATCCACGCTTTTAACAGTACGATAACGTGATATTGGCGCAGCACTCTGGAAGGCCCTTGCAGCACCATCACCACCTAGCGCTTTCTGTAAGTGAAAGAGAATACAGTCAATTCCACAAAACACATTAATTCCACCTACTGGACTGTTTAAAAAAATTACTGCTGGGCATGGTGGTGCACACCTGTAATCCCATTGCTCAGGAGGCTGAGGCAGAAGGATTACAAGTGCAAGGCCAGTGTAGGCTATGTAGTTGAGTTCCAGGCCTGCCTGCACTACAGGGTGAGATTCTGTTTCAAAATAAATAAATAAAAGATTCAACAAGAACATTTCTGAATCAGAATTGATCTGTAAAAACATCTCTGAAACTAATTTAGTCCTTATTTTTCTAAAGTTCCACATGAAACCTGCCAATTGTAAAGCCACAAATTATTTTTACCACTCAAGCAACAGTTAGTTCTGAAAGGCCTCCTTCTAAAGGTTTACCAAAGCTTTAACATATTTTATGTTTTCAGTAACTGTCAGAATGTGTGAAAATGACACAGGCAATAACTGCTACCGGCAGTTATGACAGAATTTGCTATCTTTCTTTCCAAAGACACCTGTCTTGCATTTGCACATGTCAGCTTCCTTTCTATGGTTCCGCCTCTACTCCTTTTAGATTAGATGGTGAGCTGCTGAGAGGCAACCCTTGAATTCTCACTTCTAACTGCACGTTTCAACAGGTGTGGTGACTGCTGACGCAAGTGGAGCTTGAGGCTAGTGGGCTACACGGACGAGATCCTGTCTCAAAAAACAAAAACAAAAAAGCTGTAGATTTCATGACATTAAGTTAACCAAATCGATTTCTGTAAAACAACATGAACAAGACTGAAAAACAAAATTTTGGCATTAATTCCCTAAGACATTTGTATGCAAAAGGTGTCACTTTTGGTTTTTTTGGCACAATGAGGGTTTGATCTCAGGACCCTGCTCTACCATTTGAGCCCAGCCTCTAAGTCCTTTTTGCTTTAGTTATTTTTCAGATAAGGTTTCACAGTTACCAGGACCTTCCCATCTCAGTCTACCAGGTAGCTGGGCTTATAGACCTATTACTGACTGGCCTAAGCCCCTGTCCCTGGCCGTGATTTTACTTTTTTTTGTGGCACTCGACTTTGATCTCAAGGCCTCAAGCTTGCTAGGCAGGTGCTCTACCATCTGAGCCACTCCACAAGCCCTATTTTTTGTGATAGGTTTTTTTGAGATAGGGTCTGGAGAACTACTTGCCTGGGCTGGCTTTGAACCTTGATCCTCCCATCTCTGCCTCCTGAGTAGCTAGGATTACAGGCGCAAGCTACCGTGGTCTGGCTTCACTTTTGCTTTTTTAATTGCTAGGTAATAACTACAAGTTTATAGAGTATAATGTGATGTTTAGATACATGTAAACAATGTGCAATTGATCAGATCAGGGTAACTAACACACTCATTTCTCTGTGGTAAAACATTCAAGGTCTTCTCTTCTATTTATTTTTCCAGTAGTGGGGACTGAACCTGGGCCCTTCAGCATGCTAGGCAAGCACTCTACCACTTGAACTACCCCAGCCCTTTTGTTTTTGAGAAGGGGGTGTCATTACCTTTGCTGGCCTCGACTCCTGAGTAGCTGGTCTTAATATACATTATTGTTACCTGTAGTCACCCCACTGTGCATCAGAACATCTGAATTTGTTCCTTCTAACTGTAACATGGTGCTCAACGTTTGATTTCTGTAGTAAGATTAAACTATGTATTTGTTGAACAGGAGTTCAACAAATTGGGGTGATTTAAGTCTGTAAGAGATAGTTTTCCTATCGTCCAATAAGGTGGGCATTACCGTGTGCGGCATTCATCATATCTTTACAACAAACTTATCAGTGGTGCACTATGCCATTTCTACATATATGACACCAAGGCAGTGAGGCTAAATTCCCCTCCAAGACTGAGCTGGGGCAGTGTCAGGATTTGAACCACGACCCAGGACCCAAAGCCCTGTCAAAGAGGTTGCCACCCTAACACAGGGGTCACAGCAAATTCTTACTTAGAAAACTAGGAAGGTGGGCTGGGTGACATGGCATGGCTCAAGTGGTAGAGCGTCTGCCTAGCAAACATTAGGTCCTGAGTTCAAACTCCAGTACCGCCAGAGAAGGGGGGAGAGAAGCTTCCAGACTCACACATGTAATCCCAGCACTTGGGATAAGCACGAGTTCCAGGTCTGCCCGGACTATATAGACAGACCTTGTTTCTCTACACACAACAAACAATCAAAACAGCAGGGAACCTAAGCCAAAGTCTCGGGCCTCAGTTCTGCCGACAAGGCCCGGCTCGGTGGGAGTCTAGTCTGCAAGCCCAGGCCCCTGGGAGAGCTTCCGTCTCCCCCTCTGCTCTAGACCACCCGCAGTTCCGGGCCTTTGTCGCGGGACCACCGTTTGCGGGGAAGTCCGGCCTCAGGCGGTGCGGAGAATTTAGACAGCCGAGGGCAGTGCAAGGCGCAAGGGGGACGGCGGAGAGAGCAGCGCGCCCGCCCGGTCCCCGCGCTGCTGCGCCCCGGCCCCCCGCGCGCCCTCACACTCACCGGCACCTGCGGCGGCCTGTCGGTGGATTCCACCGTCATGTCAGAACCCGAGTCGGAGAGCTGCCCGTCCTCCATGTCGCCAGCCTCCAGCGCCATCTTCCCCTGGCGCGGGGTCAGGAGAGCACTTCCGGCGTTGCGGGCGCCCCCACGTGGGGCCGGAGAGAATAACGTACCTCTGTTGCAACCTTCCCAACCCGGAACGAATCCCCTGCCCCGCGGCACTTTCCCCCGACCCGTTTTTCCTGCGGACCTAGCGGCTCCGATTCCTCCCTGGCCACCCCTCGCCCCGCGTGCCGGCCCCGCCTTCCGCGTCCATTGCTCCCGCCCCGCGAGCTTTCCGGCAGCTCCAGGTTGCCGCGCACCGCGCCTCGGGCTCCCCTGCTCCCGCCCAGTTCTCAGCGAGGTAACGGGCCGGGTGCTGGGACGTGACCGCCGATCCTGGGCTGTCCCCTTCTCCAGCCCCTGGGCCGCTCCGTGTTTTTCAGGCCCTTGCAGTTAGTGTTTACTCTGCACCGAGACACAGAAAGCCATCCAGTTCCCCCCAGGGTGATGGGTTAAGAGCAAAGCATTGCTCCGTGCGTTAAATCCCAGCAAAGCACTGTTCATGATAGGCCTTTATTGCAGGTACCTCCCTGTAATGTTTGTTTTTCTTTAAATAAGCTAAAATGTTGGCATCTGTGGTGACTTGACTCCTTAATTGCTAGCCGCTAGACCCTTCTCTGGTCCCCCATGAGTGAAAGATTTATCAGCCCAGTAGCTGGCTACACTGCCCTTTCGCCACCGTGGCTGCTTAGAGCTTTCCACTGCCTGCCTGAAGGGAGCGATGCATCAGCCACGGCTGCTTGCACAACTATGGCTGCAGAAGGCATTATCCCAGCTACGGCTATTTCAAACAGAGGGGGATTTTTTTAGCCATCACAAGCATTGGTGCACTCTAGCAGCCATTTTTACCCAGGCCCAACAAAAGGTGTGTGTTTGTTGCAAACACCCTTACCACACCCCCTTTCTGTTTGGCTTACTTTTTTCTCTCTTTGTGACATGTAGTGAGGCTTGCACCCAAGGCCTAAGGCGTGATAGGGAGCACGCTGCTACTGAGCTACATCCCAGCTCGGCTTACTGAACCAGCCCAGATACGCCCCCATGTGGTGCCCTCTGGTGTTGCAACATTAGGCCCAATAAAAGACTTCTCACAGTAATGTTTGCTTGCCTACTTGTGGATCTATTTATCACGTTTCAGTAGAGGCCTGTGCGAGTCGACAGTGCGCTACCTAAGTTCGTCAGGTGCGGCTTTCGCGCATTCTCTTACTAATCTTCTCTCACCCTCTTCTGACGATCATGCTCTCGCAGCAAGCGATGTGTTATGCTGATGCTCTGCCATCATAGTGAGTTGTGTCGACCTTTATGCGGCAGCGCGAAGAACATGGTGATGTCCAATCACGATCCATAACTCTCGACAAGAAAAGCTGACATGGTTTGCATAGCTCACTAGTGCTTAACAAGAACAATCTCTGGATCTCCTGCTGTCATTGCTTTGGAGTATATGAAGTGGCTCCTCACCAGGCGCATTTACTTCAGAGTTGCCTAAGGCGTGATAGGGAGCACGCACTGCTACTCCTGAGCTTACATCCAGCTCGGCTTACTGAAACCCGCCCACGATACGCCCCAATGGTGGTGCCCTCTGTGTTGGCAAACATTAGGCCCAATAAAAGACTTCTCACAGTAATGTTTGCTTGCCTACTTGTGATCTTTTATCATTAGTAGAGCTGGTAACACGAAGTGGTCTAGCAGTAGTGGCAGTGAGAGGACAGCTAAAGAGTTCCAGAGAGTGACTTGGAGTGGGGAGCAGAGGTGGAGAGACAACAAAGACTGTGAAGAGTTAGAAACTGTGGGTCCTGGTTGTTGGAAGAGTTCCAGGGAACTGTCAAGTCTTAAGGTAGGGCCAAGAGTCCCAGACACCCCTAGGCCTGTGAACTGTAACAGTAGTCACTGTAGCAGCTCAGGTGGCAACACTCAAAGCCCATTCAGGAACTGTAAACTAACAGGAGCTGCCTGCTGCTGTTGCTCACAACTGCTGGAAGCTGGGGATTGCAAGCTACCAAGTATCAGGGAAGCTGGAAGATGAAGCCCAGAGCAATGAACCTTTAACTCCAGTGCTTAGACCCACAGTCTCTGGCTTCTAAAGCCTGGAGCAATGTAGCCCTAGGTGTCAAATATTACAGCTGTAATCCTCTGGGTGTGCCAGTCCAGCCCCTAAGCCTTGGGCACTCAAGGGCCAGGAAGTGTCAGTACTGGAAGAGCTTCTTCTCTCCTACTCACAATGTCTACCTGCAAAAGCAAAAAGACTCCAGCTCCATCCCCATTCTTTGCAAAAGTTGTTCTCTCACAATGATTCTGGTTTCTGACCAAACGTCATCTTGGATAGGCATTCTTCAACCTACTTTAACCACTCTAAGCAAAACAGGATACCCTACTGACATTCTCACACCCATGTTTTTCTTCATGGCACCAGTAATTTTATCATATTTGTGTCAGAGTTCTCCATTAAGAGTGTTCTATTCACTCTTTCCTCCAGTGGCCAGCCCAGTGACTTTGTGCATGTGGTAGGTGATCAAGAAATATTTATCGGAACTGTGAGGATAGTTCAGAGGGAAAGTCCTTGTTTAGTGTGTTCAAGGACCTGTTTTGTTTTTTTTTTTAATGTTTTGGTCCATCTCAAATTAGTTTCTGCTTATAATGTGGTATAGTGTAGGATTCAACTTGAACTGACCAAAGCCATCTTGAGTTTCAGCTGCCATGATTGCCCCTGAGTATCCCTGGTTAGTATTCCCTGAATAGATTCGCAGCATACTATTATATAGATAACAAAACTGTTACCAAAGTGGTGAGCCAGAGGCCTGGCTCTGGGGGTCCCAATAAACCAGGTCTGGTCACTTGCCCCAAAAGATCAAATGCAAAACAATTGATAGTGAAGTAAGAAAGGAATTTTTTTCTCAGTGTGACTACACTAGAGAGAAAAATAGCAGTATAGTGAGTAAAAGTCTGTCTTCAAAGTATTAACAATAGTTTTGGGGTGACATATGGAAGAAACAAAGGCAAGGGTTGAGGGTTTGTAGAGCTGGTGATCCTGGTCAGGCTTTGGTGTGGCTGATCATTTTCTCAGGGCCAGTCATGTAGAGTCTTGGTTCTGATGAGAACGTTGCTGCTGTCTGGGGACTAGTTTTGATTCTCCTGTAACATGCTTATCTATCAGACCTGTTGTTCCTGGAATCCAAGATGATTGCAGGAGAGAATGACTCAGGGAATGGATAAGTCAGCAAGGCAAGATGGAGTTAGTTAGGACAATGAGTGACTCCTCCTATAGGTTTAGGCCAACGGTTGGAGACTTTTAAGTGTTGCACCAGTGGTCTGGAACTGGATACTGTCAGCCTTGGAGGGGGAGAATTACCAGTTTTAGATGAATAATTCTTTAGTAACTAACATGTAGTTGAGCAGGAGTTTGACCAAAGATGCATTTTGAAGGCAGTGATGCCAAGCTTCAGTCTTGTTTTCAGTCACCCATCAGACTTTCCAGGCCCTATAAACAGTCAGTGCTTTTAGCAAAAGCAGCCTTTAAATCCTTGTTACACAAACCATTAGAATACACGGGACTTTATGAGTATACTCTGGCACCATTGGCTCCAGGAATATGCCTTATGCCCTTAAAATTAGTTTGTAATAAACCAGGTACATTCTGGGTTGGATGAAATCACTTTTGTTCTGACCATTACACAATACCCCCATTTTGAGACAGGGTCTCTCTATGCAACCTAAGATGGCCTACAACTCCCTATGTAGCCCAAGCTGACCAACTGCTGAGATTATAGGTGTTCACCACCCTGACCCAAAGCTTTTTTTTTTTATGTTGCTGGAGATTGATCCTGGAGCCTCACACATGCTAGGCAAGTGCTCTACCACTGACACACACACCCCCAGTCCCAATCTCCATCTTTTGACTCAAATCATGAGGATCTACTGGCTTTACTGCCACCCAGAATCATGCTACAGTCAGTAAGTCCCCAATAAATCATGTAATCCTGGATCAATCTGAATCTTTCTTTGATGTCACAGCACCTTGTTGTCAGTTCTTATACAACAGGACCAGGTTTTCTGAATCATACAGGGATCTTTGCTCATTTTTCCCCTTATGGATCTGTTATTCCAGCATCATTTGTTGAAAATATTTCCTTTTCCATTGAGTAGGTATTTGTTGAAAAAAATAGTTTGTGGTGGGCACTGGTGGCTCATGCCTGTAATCCTAGCTACTCAGGAGGCAGAGATCAGGAAGACCATGGTTTGAAGCTAGCCCTGGCAAATAGTTCTCGAGACTCTATCTTCAAAAAACCCATCACACAAAAAAAGGGTTGGTGGAGTGGCTCTAGATGTAGGCCTTGAGTTCAAACCCCAGTACTGCAAAACACACACAAAACTTGTGGGCTGGTGTAGCTCTGCCCAACATGCGCAGAACACCTACCAAGCAAGTGCAACACCAAAAAAAGAAGAGGAAAAGAAAAAGTCATGTAAGCATATATAAGTTGTTTTTTTTTTAACTTTTTTTTCTGTTCCATTGACGTATTTGCCTATCCTAGTGTTATTATCATACTATTTTTTATACTTTAGCTTACAGTAAGCATTTAATTCAGGGATTGTAAATCCTCTAACTTTGCTTTCCTTTCAAGATTGCTTTATCTATTCTGGGTCCTTTGCATTTGCATTATAAAATTTGTAATTTGTCTATTAAAAACAAGTCTGTGGGATTATGTTTGGGATTTTATTGCATCTACAGATCAATTGGAGAGAACTGGTCTCTTAGCAGTGCTGGGTCTGAAATCCATGTTCGTGGTATAGGTCTCCACTTATTTAGGTTTTATTTCATTGTTTTGCATCAGTATTTTATAGTTTCACTATAATTTGAGTGTCTTTGTTCTAGCTATTCCTAAGTATTTTATTTATTTATTATTTTTTTGCAGTACTAGAGTTTGAACTAAGGGCTTCATGCTTGCTAGGCAGGCACTCTACCACTGGAGCCACTCCACCAGACCCTAAGTATTTTTGAAATCACCTTTAAA